TGCTGAAATGTGTGTGTGATCTGCTCTGTATAGAGTATCCAACAGAGCCTGGCGATGACTGCACTGGATATCAGCACATGGAGATCTGCGACACGTCTCCAAACTAAAGACTCTGCGATTAAAAATAGAAGAGAGATAAGTTTTTATTGAGTGATTTTTTTTTTGGGAAAAGATAGATCAAACCTTTTGAGTCACGGGCCACAGTTGTCCTAAAATTGAATCGGGGGAGGGGGGGGCTGGGTCAGGAGCAGATAGATGGAGCATTCGTGCGAACTGAGATAAATGTCATGCATTGGAAAAAAAAATTGGAAAAGTTTGGCTGGCCAGATTAAAAAGCTGAACAGGCTGCATCCGGGCCTCCGGGCCTTCGTTTGTCCATGCCTGACCTAGAAATGAAAAAAAATGACTGTATTCTGTTTAGTTGAAATCACTTCAAATTATTAATTTATCACAAGATGGAAGTAGTTAGATTAATATGAGACTGCTGAATTGAGAAGGTTATCAGGTCAAGTGGTAAGGTTGGTTAAATAAGTTGGTGTTTTTAAAGGAACATCTTAACAAAGGCTCGGTCTTTGCATGCGAGGCTAGATCAGGCGTAACCACTATATGCTGACCTTCACGAACATTTATCTTATTTAAAAACACTGTCTATCTCACACTAAATAGTAAAGATTAATAAATACTCTACTTATTTTATTGTTACAACATTTAGAACTCCCATTTTATGTTTTCCTTTGACTTTTTTCTCAAAGATTTCAGAATGTTTTTGGTGGAAGAAATTGAGCGGGCCAATTAATTAGTCCTTGTCTACTTATTTTATTGTTACAACATTTATAACTCCCATTTATGTTTTCCTTTGACTTTTTTTCTCATAGATTTCGCATCTAGTTGGTTCTGTCAGTGTCTGAAATACGCTCTTTAATTTCAGGGCATATCATAATATAGTCTTCGTTCAACCCATACAACGTTTTTCAAAAGGCTTGCAATACCAGACACAGCCACAAGAGGGCGTTAAAAGCATAGGAAAAGTAGCACCAGGGCAGATTGAACTTCGTGCCTTTTCTCTTTTCTCTAAACTCAACCAGACCAGACGTGAAAGAACGAATATAATCTATTTACCAGTTACATGAGGTTTCCAACCAATCAGTGCGCACAGAACAGCAGGAACACCGTAACCCAACTACAAATCAAAAATAGATGATATTAGGTTTTTGTTTTTGTTTTTTTAAGTTGTACGGATCGATGAAACCATACGAAACGTGCGATCTTACCATCCACAACCCCGCATCAGGATCATTGATCTGAAACCAGAACACACACACACACACGCGCTATGAAGAAATACTGAGATTAGAGAAGAAAGAGGAATTTTGACGAGCAGGGAGGAAACTCACTTGCACATATGTGGCGAGAGCAAAGAACAACGACATGAAAATGTTGCACAGTCGCCAAATAAAAACAAGCCATGTTTGCATTTTACCAACTTCTCCCATCGTCTTTGGTCCCTCCAGGACCCGCGACTGAGGGCGAGACGGGAAATCAAATGAAGCAGGTTTTTTTATTTTGATTTGATTTGAACTAAGATGCAAGAACTAATTCCTCTGAAAGAGCATTGACGTCAAGACAGCCACTATGGGGCAGAGTTTTTACTTCCTTTATTTAAAATAATAAAGGACAACCGTGTTTGATGTATAGAAACGTGGCAAATAATTTAAATCGTTGGCTAATCGTAATATTTGGTATTCCTAAACAAGGAAACAAGGTTTTTAGTTGCTGGTTAATTATGTAAATAATGTAACGGCTGTAGCATTGGGTTTTTTTTTCTTCTAAAATGTGTGTTCTATATATTTTATATTAAAATTGAAAACCTGATATGGAGAAACCCTTCCACCAAAATCAACAGTAAAAATAAAACAAAATACAATTCGATAAATTTAAAACGTTTTAGTCTCTTTGTGCGTGTAGCTCACCTGCCCTCCACAAGAGGTCTCTCTACTAGCTCATACAGTACATTGCACACTTCAATGAAAAGCAGGCAGTGCCACAGCATCGGAGAAATCAATTTCACGTTGTTAAAAAAAATTTTTTTTTTAAATAATCACAACATAATTCATGCGATTAACACGTTCATTTTCACCATCCCTATCTATAACATTTTTTAAAATAATTGTTTTACTAAGCATAGTTCTAAACCCCATTGGCATTAGTACTGCTGTTTCTCTGTGAGCCAAAATCACGGGTTATTTGGGGAGAGCCTCCATTTTAGAGAATATGCTAGTTTGAATGGCAGTCCCAGCAGGGTGGTAGTGTGTTAAGCAAGCATTGACTTGGTTAAAAATTTTTTTTTTACTGCTGTAAGAAGTCAATAATGTAAAATCCTACAGTAACTAGGGCATTACAACTGCTCACGAATGTATACGGGAAATGTACAAGTTAAGCTAGTCATTTTATTTTGAAACAACGTCCGGGATTTACTGCGCTAGGGTAGATGTGCGCTTAGAACATGTATTAGTTGTGGTTGTTGACATTACAGTGTCAGGGTCAGCTGATTGCAGGAGGCTAAACTAGTTTAGTTAGCTTAGCCTAGCTGGATGTTGGTTTTGCTAGCATTGCCGTAAAAGCGCAGGCGGCGTTTCCTAAATAAACCCACACCTGCATCAAAATAACGTAGCATTAACTAAAATTTCATTGTGAAATATCTATTTTTTTGTCTCCCCTGGCGCTGGTCGTGTGTTGCGAAGTTGTATAGTCAGTGCCGCAGTGGAGGTTCTGTTGTTGTCAAGGAAGGGAGGGAGGAAAGGCTCCGCATTGC